GTAAACTAAATCAACTCCAAAGCAACAACCATGCTCCACCCATAAATTCATCCTAAGCCAACCCTAACCCTACTAAACCAACCAATCCTAGCGCAAGCCCATCACCCAAACCAGCCAATGTGTTTCTGTGTTGAACCCAAACCAATCAAAGTCAAAGATACCAAACCGATACTGTAGTTGGCACGGGGAGACATGGTTGACAGATTGTTAGACATCGTTGATGTGTAAATAGTATATCAAGATATACACGTAGTGTTCACATGGTATACACCTTTTGTTGGATGGTTGAAACTCAGTGCGCTTTCTTGTGATGACGGGAAATATTTGAGGAAGCCGGGAAACCCTGTCAAGTTCTGGGGATTTGAGGGGCGTTTGTTTGCTTTCTCAGGTTGCAGGTCTTGGCACTCAACCAAGCCTCACCCGCCCCCCCCCTCCCCCCCAAAAAAAGGAAAGAAAAGAGACACGAACTAGCTGTGAACCGTCCCTACATCTGAAGAATTTGATCGGTCATTATGGGGTTTTACATCTGTTGCATCCGCAGTGTGGCTGTTCAAGCGTGAAAATGTGCGAGCAGCGCACTTGGACGGTTTGTTGTTTCCTTTTGGGCCCCAAACCGGTAACCCTTGAATCTATAGGTTATCAGCCGTAGGCCCCTAGCTCTAAGCAATGGACGGTTCCCTTGTTCCTGTTGATGGATCCAACATGCCTGTGGATGCTGTCGGAGCTAGCTCCGACAACGCCACCGGCGGCGGTGCGCGAATGTTCGTGCCAAGCGCCAATGCACAGTATAACCGCACCCTGATGAATTCCCTTCAACTGTACAATACCGCAATCTTTGCTTTTGGGAATGATGCAGCTGCCAATTTGCGTGGGGAATTCGGTTCAACACCAAAAAAACTTAAGGGTAAGGCAGCTTGATGCGCATGCTGAAAGGGGTTTGGGGTCATCTAAGCAGAAATGAGTCTTGGCCGCCAAGAGGAAAGGGCTTGAACTGCTTTCCGGGAAAAACTTGACTATGAAACCGCCTCTTCTGTACGAGCAAAATGCGTTGTGTTGGAGCCCAAATTCTGCTCGTATTTTGGCGGATTGGGCTTGCGTTTGCGGCAATTGCGAGTTTTCACAAAGAAAGCAGTGATCTGCAACAAATCCTGCATGGGCACATTTTTTAGGGATCTGGCCACACACTACAAAATACGGAGCAGAACGTGTTTTTCTTGGTGGGCGTTTCTCAGAGGGGTTCAGGTTTTCCGTGAACCAACTCCGAACAAGCTCCGAACGAACAAACTCCGAACGAACTCCGACCGAACTCCGAACGAACTCCGAACGAACTCCGAACGAACTCTGAACGAGCTCCGAACGAGCCCCGAACGAACTCCGAACGAACTCCGAACGAACTCCGGACAAACTCCGGACAAACTCCGAACAAACTCCGAACGAACTCCGGGCGAACTCGGAACAAACTCCGAACAAGCGAACAAGCTCCGAGCGAACTTTGGCATTGTTCCCGAACCAACTCCGAACACACTTTGGCCATAAGTATGTTTTTGAGCCCAAGCATTTTGGTGGCCAAGCTGTTTTTTTGCTTTTTCGGGCTTACCAAAAGAGGCCAAGTGATTACAGGGGCCAGTTTTAACAAGTGGCCTGGGAAGGTGTTTTTTGAGGCAAACAAACATGTTCTCAGGCCACTTGTTGAAATTAGTTCTTTCGGTCAGATGGGTTTCCTGTTCTGTATGTTTCGGGCTGGATTTACTTCCCGGACAAGCGCCAAACAAACTTTGGCCATCTTTTTCTTTGGGGGAGCTGATTTTTGTGTTTCGGCCTTAAGTTTCAGTTTTTCGGCTTTGTTTTGTTTTATTGCTCTCTTTTTTTCAGGCTGTGATTTTTGCGTATTATTTTTTTCGGGGCTTAATTCTTGCCCCGGACGAACTCCGAACGAACTCCGAACGAACTCCGAACGAACTTTGGCCTTAAGCTTTTTTTGGAGCTTATTTTTGTTTTCGGTGTTGAACTTTTGGGGTTTTGGTCGTACAAAAACGCTGGAATTACAGCTTGTTGATTCGTTTTTCGTTCAAATTTAGTGTTACCAGGGCAAAAAAAACATTGAAACATGCTTAGTGCAGGCTTTTCATGCAAGAAAACAGCTATTTCATACGACCAAAATCGGGCAAGCCATTACACAAATCGGGCAAACCCTTAAGTTCAACACCGGTGTTGAACTTAAGCTCTTTTTTTTGGAATAAGATTTTTTTCCCGGATTAAGCCTTGATCAAAAAGATTAAGCTTTGTTTCAGCTTCAACAGCGAGCCTCAGCGTCAACCTGCGTGATCACCCCGGTAGCGATTTTAGCCCTCCGCAGCTCTGAAGTCCTACAAATCCTGCCCTGAACGCCTTCCCAGGCCACTGTTGAAACTGGCGCCTGTAATCACTTGGCCTCTTTTGGTAAGCCCGAAAAAAAAGCAACAAAAACAGTTTGACCACCAAAATACTTAGGCTCAAAAACATGCTTATGGCCAAAGTGTGTTCGGAGTTGGCTCGGGGGTTTGTTCGGAAATCAGCCAATGACAAAGCTTGCTCGGAGCTTGTTCGCTTGTTCGGAGTTTGTTCCGAGCTCGCCCGGAGTTCGTTCGGAGTTTGTCCGGAGTTTGCTCGGAGTTTGTTCGGAGTTCATTCGGAGTTCGTTCGGAGCTCGTTCGGAGTTTGTTCGGAGTTTGTTCACGAGGAACCTGGGGCCTCTGAGAAACGCCCACCAAGAAAAACACGTTCTGCTCCGTATTATGTAGTGTGTGGCCAGAACCCAAAAAATGTGCCCATGCAGGATTCGTTGCAGATCACTGCTTTCTTTGTGAAAACTCGCAATTGCCGCAAACGCAAGCCCAATCCGCCAAAATACGAGCAGAGTTTGGGCTCCAACACAACGCATTTTGCTCGTACAGAAGAGGCGGTTTCATAGTGAAGTTATTCCCGAAAAACAGTTCAAGCCCTTTCCTCTTCGCGGCCAAGACTCATTTCTGTTTAGATGACCCCAAACCCCTTTCAGCAGGCGCGTCAAGCTGTCTTACCCCTAAAGCTTAGCGCGCAGAAGCGGCGCGGTCCCCTGGGAAGCAAGCAAATTGATTCTTGTTTCGAGGAAACTGGCATCACTAGTACACTTTGAGATTTGCTGCAAAATCTGGGCTTTTCTTTTTTTGGTTTTGGCAAACCCCTAAGTTTGAGTAAAAAACCCTTATTCTTTTTTAGGACCTTAAAACACCCAAATCCCGAACGAACTGACCTGACCCATGAAATTTGGCAGATGCAGCCATTAGGTCTGAAGCCGAAGCCCTGCATCAAGCAGCTGTCACGCATTTGCAAGCGGAAAACCGTGAGGAGCTCCGTGTCGCACAGAATCAGCTGCATGCACACTACGCTGAATGTGCGCAAGCCCAGTCGCATAGGATTCGTGAATACGAACAGCGAGTGAGCGATGAGTTCATCCAAGAAGTGAACTTCGCTGAAGCTAGGATAAGCCAAGTGTGTGAGGAAAACGCCCAAGCATCGCATGAAGTGGAAATGAGACACAAAGCAACTGAGTTTAGGCAAGCCATCGAATCCACCCTGGCGGAGGCCCAGCAGCTCCTTCATGAGCAAGCTGCCAAGCACGCCGATGACACAGCCCGTGTCGAAGCGAAAAACGATGATTGACATGATGGCCTACCAAAACGGGCTTCTGCAGGACGAGCTCGATGAGCTGAAGAGGTATCAGAAGCAACACGACCTCCGCGAGGATGGATCGAAGCCCAAAGGGGTAGGTGATACCCGAGAGGATTCACCAGAGTTGATGACCGACGACATGAAATCAGCTCGGTCCCAAAGGTCAATGTTGGACCCGTTGTCCAATCCATTTCAATATGCAAAGGAAAAGTTGAGGTCGCTTGTTACCTATGACGGTTACGAGGTTGAATATACCCCCAGCGTAATCCCAACTGCCGAAAGCGAAGCACTGCCTGCAGATGCTCGCGATCTGCAAGGACCAGCTGAAAAGCCATCAGGTAGCAGCCGATCCCCGGTGAAAACAAGTGCACCGGTCCCGCCCCTGCAATTCTCTCAGGGGCCAATGCCAACTGACCGTAAGCAGGGTGGTAAGCCCCCTGGCGGTCCGCCACCTGATGATGATGGCGATGGCGAAGGTGATGAAGACGAAGGTGATGGCCTCGGGCCTAACCTCGGTCAAGAAGCCTTCGCCAAAATGTTGATGAAGTTAGTGAAAGGCCACACGAACGATGAAAAGCCCAGAACCCGCGAAAGCGAGACGTTGCGATTCAAGGAGATGCCAACTCCTGAAACGTACCGTGAATGGAAGACATCGGTTCGTGAGGATGTCCGCGCTGCATCTGACCGTCCAGACGAGGCTTGGCCTTGGATCATGGAAGTTTGGTCTGACCGCGAGGACAAGAAGAAGCTATTGGAGGAGCTCGGTGAACCGGGAAAATTCGTGACTCTAGACACGAAGATTCTCGCAGCGCTCACGCGTTCAGCGAAAGGCGATCTGGCTCAGCGAATCCTGACAGCAAAGGAAGAATGCGCCAAGGTGAGAGGAAGGCAGGTCTTGTTTATGTTTGACCAATATTTCAAGACCAGTGAAGAAGCCGGAAACCTCTACTCCTTGGAGGACCTGTTGCGTGTCTCGCGACACGGCGAAGGAATCATTGATCTCAAGCGTTTCCTAAACGCTTGGGATTCTGTGATCGCCGGCATGAAAAGGCCGCCAGAAGAAAAGGTGTTGAAAGACATCCTGCTTCGCCAAG